CAGAACCAAAGGCAGTCCTAAATGGTTTGACAGCTCATTTTAAAGACCAATTTAGAAAATGAAGAACCAAACTTGAAAAAATGACAGAAGAATAGAAAAGAGTATATAAACCAAAAGATTGGATTAAAGAAACCTGATATAAAGAATTAGAAGAAAAAATAGAAGAAAAAGAATAAGAAAAAATACTCAGAGAGCTCAAAGTGAATACAGTTCCAGGTATATCAAGCATAAGCTATATATTAATAAAGCATGCAGAAAAGAGATTACAAAGAATTTTTAGAACATTTGCAAATCTAATTCTGAAGAAAGAAGACATACCAAAAAAATGAAAAATAGTGCAAATATATCCAATTCCAAAAGATGTAGACTGGGGTTACTGTTTAAACAATATCAGGCCAATAGCATTGATTGAGACCTTTAGGAAAGTTGATATGAAAGTATTGACAAGAAGATTAGCCAAAGTGTTTACAGAAAGAAATATACTCAAAGGGCCAAATTATGCAGGCTGCCAAGTAATTCAACAGAGCAACTGATACATAAACTAAACATGATAATAGAAGAGGCATGAGAAAAAAACAAAAAAATATAGATACTGTTGCAAGATATGAAAAAGGCATTTGATTTAGTTCTACTAGAAAGCCTAGAATAGGCTCTAAAAAGAGTCAAGATTCTACAAAAAACAAGAGAATATATAAGCAATATTTTCTGCAAACGACAACTCAAAGTTATTACAGCTTATGGCTTAACAGACAAAATAACTGCAGGAGATAGAATAGACCAAGGAGAAGTAATTTCATCACTAATTTGGCACCTTTTCTATAACCCATTATTAGAAAGAATACAAGAAGATGAAACACTAGGCTATACAGTAGAACAAGAATTAACAGAAAGATTATGCAGTGATAATGTTACAAGTTATAGACAAGCAGCAATTGCATATGCAGATAACACAACATGAATCACGAACAGCAAAGAACAAATGCTAAGAATTCTAAGCATTGCAGAAGAATTTTTTGAAGCAAATGACATCAAAATAAATGAATTCAATTCAAAGCTTATAGTAATGAACATAAGAATGAAAGAAGAAGAAAGAGAAATCACATTCGGGCATAGTAAAATAAGAGAAGAACCCAAAAGCAAAGTTGTAAAATCATTAGGAATTTGGCTAAACAGCAGAATGAAGAAAGCACTGGTCTGTAAGAAAGCAAAAGGAATTGTTAATCGAACAGTTAAAGATCTGAGATACAAAAAAATAACAATGAGCCAAATTGCATATATAAACAATAAAGTAATAATTCCTAAGCTAAGATATCTCTTATAGCTAACAAAAATGCCAGAGAGAATGATTGACAAAATTCACCAACCACTAATATGCTTAGTGAAGCATAAATGCAATATGATGAGAACAGCAAACAATTGCACAATTGAGCACAAAGATCTAGGAAACTGCAAAACACTAAGTCAAGAAATAATGGCAAAACAAATAAGTAGCCTTTTTACAAGACTCAACAGACGAGACAATGTAGGTGAATTAACAAGGCTCAGAATAGCTCAAGGATGTCAGAAAGCAGGCCTAACAGAAGACATTTGGAACAATAAAAAGAAAATAGAAACTGAGAAGTTTTGGAAAAACAACTTAGCCTATCAAACAATAGCTAAAGCAAAGGAAATAGGAATAAGCATTAAAGCAGAAATACCTCTATGGAAAGTTTACAGTTATGGTAAACAAATAAATGACATGTTAGAAACAAAACTATGAATAGCAAGTAGTAGCACAATAAATGAATGGGGGTTACTATATCTGAACCAACTCATAGACATTAAAGGTAACAACCTAATGTTGTAGTTGGGGAGAGCCTTCCTTATACGTTGCCGGTTTTAGCACAGCACTACAAGCACAGACGTGTCCTCAATTTAGCCATGGACTAATTGACGGGGCTGGTCTGGGGTGATCTCAATTACTGGACTACTGGTAGGTCGTCGTAGGTCACGTGCCAAATACTAGGGGTTGCCGGTCTCTAAGAAACAGTGTGGATGTTAGGGGGGGTCAAATGCCAGGCTACACTATGCAAGAATATCGCTTTCAATTTATACTATCTACTTATTAATTTAGCGGAATGCCCTCTTTATTTATTGGGCATACACCCTATTTATACAAATTTTTGTGGTTGGGTCTCAAACCTCCTGCTGGGGTTTCGGACCTGTACCTGGGGTTAGGAACCCTAGATTAGGGTCTCGAACCCGATATTGGGGTTTAGAACCCTATTACTACATTATGCTAACTACGAAATACGCAATGCAGGATTTTGTACCTTATTCTGGGGTTTCGAACCCTAATACTATGCTATGCTAACTTATTTATGCAGATTGTTTATAAGGGTTTCGAACCCTATTACTATGCTTTACTAACTTATTTATGCAAACCGTTTATGAGAGTTTCGAACCCTATTACTATGCTATACTAAAAACAGACAGCAGAAGAAAAAGAAAAAAAAAAAAAATAAAAATAAAAAGGTACAGAGTTTTTCGTAACATCTTCCCCAGCTCAAAGAGTGAGCTCCTGCGAACTCATCACCATTCTCCGAATTTCCTCCTCTCTCAACCTTCATGCTTCCGCCAACATCGCCCCAGAGAAATCTCCCTCCAACATTCGTTCCAGCACCGAAATTGATATATGTTGAACTTGACGCATACACCATTCACCCCGCACGGCAAACAACATATATACTCGCTTTGCAATTTTCTATACTAAGCTCACTTTGGGGGCTGGGAGTCACTCGGCTAGCTCCCTTCGTGCTTCGTCACCCCAACCCTTTTCAAACAGCAAGCTTCCTACTTTATAATAGGTCTCCAATACCTCAGCCGTCGATAGGGTCCTCGGGTTCAGGTCTTCGATGTCGCTACACACGTTACTTAGTTTTTCACTCCAGGTTTCTCCAGCAGCTTCGATAGGCATTGCAAGTTCGGTCCCCATGGGGTGGTCCAAGTCTTGAAGATACAGAGCCAAATGGTCATGGATTTGCTGGGCCTTGGTCCTTCTTTCCGTTCATCCAAACCCTTCGTGAATCTCTTGGTCCTAATATCGAAAGATCATTTCCCCCTCCTTAACCTCCAGCTCTTCATCAGGTTTCATCCGGTCCACAAGTTGTTGGATCGTTTTTCTCAAAGTTTCGAAACGTCATTCCATTTCCCCCCTTTTTTTTTTTTTTTCTTTTTTTTTTTTTATATATATATATATATAATTTTTTTTTTTTTTTTTTTTTTTATATACAATTTTTTCTATTACCTCATTCCGTCGTCATTTCGCGCTTTATAGCATTTTAATTGACTACCGTGCACTGCCCCTTTTATTACCTTTTCGATATTTCCTATCGTACGTAATTGATACGTACCATTACCTATTACATCATGCACCCAGTATGGTCCCGACCACTTTTCCTCTAATTTGCCGCCTAATTGTTTTCCCAGCTTGGCCCGGTACCTTAACACCTTATCTCCGATTCCGAAACTTTGCAAGGGGTACTGTCGGTCATGGCTCCACTTCTGCTTTTGTTGGGCCTTGCGAATGTTCTCACGTGCCTTGATCCGAACTTCGAACAGTTCGTCCACCAATTTTAAGGTTCGGGCTAAAACCATGGACTCGTAGTAGTCATCATCTATAGGATCCACGGGGTAAGTTTCCAGCAGTAATTCTACGAGTAACACAGCCTTCCTTCCATACATTAGGTAAAAGAGGTCATATTTGGTCGTACCATGCTTGGCCATCCTGCAAGCAAATAGAGCGGGACTCACATATTCATCTCAGTCCCCTTGGTACTGACTTATGCACTTTGCTAAAGCCTTACAGATGGTTCGATTGAACCGTTCAACAAGACCGTTGGTCTGGGGGTGATACGTGGACAAGAATTTGTGCTTAATATCGGCCCTGTTACAGGCCTCCTTTATAACCTGGTTTTTAAAATGGGTTCCCTGATCTGTCAAAATCTGTCGAGGACAGCCATGTCGGCTAACTATTTCTTCCATTACAAAGGCGGCAACAGACTCTGCGTGCAGTCAGGTAACGCTCGAACCTCGGGCCATTTCGTCAAATACTCTATTGCTACCACCAGGTACCTATTGCCATTTCTCGTGAGAGGCAAAGGCCCTACTATATCCATCCCCACTCGGTCAAATGGTTGCATTACCTGAATCGGGTGTAATGCTTCTCGGGTCTTTGGTTTCCCACGACGTTGACATACATCACAACTCTGTATATAACTCTTGATATCCCCTATCATTTGACCCCAGTGGTACCGCCTTCGCGCCTTTTCTATAGTTGCTCCTTCTCCTAAGTGGCCAGACGTAGGATCATCATGTAAAGCTCTCAGCAACATCCCTACTTCTTCACGCTGCACTACCCTCAAAGTTTGATCGGGCTCTTGGCGATTCTTTCGATACAACACTCCTTCCTGTACTACGTAATACCTGGACTGATTTCTTAACTTTCGGTTTTGTTCCTTTGAATTTTCCCTAGGCAGTTCTAACTTAGTCAGATATCGAATCAGGTTAGTATAATCTTTGGATTCCATCGTAAGGAGTTGTTCAGTTTGTCAGTTTTTTTTTTTTTTTTTTTTTTTTTTTTTTATATATATTTATGTGCCAGGACACCGTCACCTGGACTGGATTACGGATTTGGGTCAAGGGTCTACTTATAATTAATCAAGAACAATTTCTGGGTGGTAGATTCAATTTGCCTTAGAATAGTTAGTTCAAAAGTACTCGTACGCGTTTGGGTCTCTTTTAACTCATTTTGGCACCTCTTCCAGTTGTTTCGATGTTTTGCCGACTGTTACACCAGCATTTCATACCAAACTATTGATTTATGCGCCCCAGACCCCGCGCATAAACGTCGTAGCTGACCCTTAACTACTACGTCCGCATTATTATTATTATTAATTAAAATTATTTTTTTTTTTTTTTTTTTTTTGTATTTATTTTTCACTCAGACTCCTCTACCCGGGATAACCTGTCGACGTTCCCCAATTGCCTCCCAGGTCGGTACTTTACCACGAAATCATAGCCTTGGAGGGTCATGATATATCTCGCCATCCTACCGGTGGGGTTAGCCATGTTATTGAGGTAGGTCAAAGCCGTATGATCGGTCACTATTGTAAATTGGGATCTGTGGAGGTATTGGTGAAACTTCTTCATGGCCCAAACAATAGCGGTACACTCTAATTCAGTTATTGTGTAATTCCGCTCAGCAGGCTTTGTTGATCGACTGGTGTACTCCACAACACCTTTAAGCCCGTTATCGCCAGGCTGAGATAAAACAGCACCAAGAGCAAGGTGCGATGCATCTGTATACAAAACAAATCTAATGTCGTCTCGAGGGTGAGCGAGGATGGGGCTGAAGTGAGCCTATTCTTCAACTCGTCGAACGCTTCTTGTTGCTGCTCCTTCCAGGTGAAATTTTCTCCTGTTTTCAATAGTTTGTAGAGGGGCGTGGCTATACCCGAGAAATCTTTAATGAAGCGACGATAGAAGCCGGCCAAACCTAAAAACCCCCTTAATGCACGAAGGTTCTTGGGTCTGGGGAAGTTACTCACAGCGGCTACTTTTGTTGTAGTTGGGGTTATACCTTTGCCAGAAATTTCATGCCCCAGGAACTCTATTCGGTCTTGCCCAAAATAGCACTTGTCCAGGTTCAACTTTAGATTCGCCTGGCATAGCTTACTAAGAACGACGTCTACGTGGCTCAAGTGTTTTTCGAAACTGGAGAAGTAGATGTTAACATCATCTATATAGGCCAGAACGAAATCCCACATCTCCTTTTGGAGTAGGCGATCCATTAATCGCTGGAAAGTGGCGGGAGCATTTGTTAGGCCGAAAGGCATCACTACAAATTCGTATAGCCCGAATTTGGTGATAAAGGCCGTCTTTTCGCAATCACGTAGATGAACTCCGACCTGCCAGAATCCACTGGCAAGGTCTAGGGTTGTATACCAGGTCGAGTTCTTGAGAGCTCCCAATAACTCATTAATTCTAGGGAGGGGGTAGCTATTACGTTTCGTTTGTTGATTCAGCTTCCTAAAGTCAACACACAGCCTCATCTTCCTGTTTTTCTTCTTGACCAATACGACGGGGGATGCCCACAGACTGCACGACGGACGAATTAACCCGGCTTCCTCCATTCTCTTTATTTCTTGGCCAATAAACTCATGCTCCACCTTGGACGTGAGGTAAAACCATTGCTTTACAGGGGGGCCTTCCTCGGTATGAATTTCATATTGCACAACGGACATCCTACCTAGCTGGTCGGGTTCTCAAGCGAAGATGTCCTCATACCAACTTAATATCTCTTTCATTTGATCGTACTGTTCAGGAGTCATATCTCCTAACTTTAAGTCGTCCGTCTTCCTTTCCTCTATATAGGGTTTTGCTTTCCGGTCCACAACTTCATTTCACATGCACTCCGATTCATAGTGTCCCTTCCTTAAGCACAACCCGCACCGGTCATCAGTTTCCTTCTTAATGGGATAAAACCTGAAATACAAGTATGTTTGACTCACCAACCCTTCTTCTTCGTCGTACTCATCCTCGTCGTCAACCTCCGATTCGTCACTATCGCCATCGCTACTACTAACATCGTCCTCTGAACCTCCATCTTCCTCTTCGGCTTCCTTTTCTCCTTTTTTTCTTTCTGAAGGGATTTGATCCTGAATGTGGGTTGGTTTACAATATTCCGTTGGAACTTTTATCTTCTTATTACCATCTCATATCATTAACTCACAAGACTCCCAATCTAAACGTGCCCGGGCCTTCTTCATCCAATTGTTTCCCACTATCACGGCATAGTTTCCAGCGTCGGTCACAACAGCTCGAGACGTTATAGTTTTTCCTTCCACAGTTACAGGGAATTCTTCAATTTTACCCAAAGGCCTCTTCTGTTCACCATGTACGCCTACCATCATTACTGTTGACGGACGGTCGATGGTCATTCCAACATCCTTTAGAAATCCAGCAGAGACTACACATCCCGACGAACCACTGTCCAAAATCAAGATGATTGGTTGGCCATTTACCTGGGCATCACAATACATTGAAGTTGTGTAAGAGTCTTCTCTTTTGCCGAAACAAAATTCAGCGAGCTTCCCTTTTGTCACCCTTCCTGGCCGTAACACCTTCAACGCCTTCTTCCATATATTCGGTGCTGCTTGAAAGAGCTGGGCATAAGTGATGTCGGCCTTTTTGTTTTGCAAATCCGTCATTATCGAATATGGCTGGATTTTTGCCATTACTGGAGGTTCCACTAGTTTCGTAACCTTCCTCTTCACGACCTTTTTACCGTTCTCTAGCTCACTTTTCTGCTTACCTGATAGCTTACTTGCTTCGTTGCTTATATCACTACGACTATTCTCAGGCACGAGCTCTTCTTCCGCAGGTTCTTCATCGACACATTTCCTTTTCACCATGTATGCTTCCTCTATCTTTACAATGGAGGGATTTGTAGATGATCGTGCACTCTCACCCTCTAAAGATGCGCTTCCAAGTTTAAATGCTCGAAGTCACCTTGTATCTGCGCTATCATTGCTTGTGCTCTTGGGGTTTCCTCCACTATCCTATGGTCATTCGTTGGGGCATTATTCTGATGCTGACCCGGGTGGTTATTACTATTCCCATTATTATTGATACGATTATTGGTCGGACACTCACAGGCATAGTGTCCTACTTGTTGACAAGCATAGCATACGGGTGGCCAGTTTATTCTATCAGGTCGGTTTCCATTCTGTGGAGGACGTGGCTGGTTATTGTTGTTGTTACCATTATTCCTTACAGCCGTAGCTACCTCACATAATAAGGCCATAACTTGCTCCATGAAAACATTCGAAGCTTGTGCAGGGGCGACTGGTTGGTTTACAGAATACATTGGCTGGTGTGATGGTGATATGGGCGTTTGGGTATTCGCATAAGCTAGTTGATGATACAATGCTGGCCCATATACTGCTGTTCTTCTTATAAACGTCATTTCACAGGTTCGTGCCCTGTCAATAGCATCTTGGAGTGTATTCGGCATAAAAGGTCCTACTACTAGTGACAGGTCTGGACGAAGTCCCTGAACAAACATTTGTGCCTTGGTTATTTTGGGATACTGGTTCCCGACTCGAGTTACTCGATTGAACAACACCAGCATATCTGCAGCGTATTGATCTACCGTTTTTCTCATGCGTTGCCGCCTCGTTAGTAATTCAGTGTTCCATTGGTTGATTAGGGCTGAGGTACAGAAGTTTTGTCTAAACTCGTGTACAAAACTCTGTCCCACCATTGTCTCATTACTCCAGTATCGTATCTCTATGCCCTGGTTTCTTAAACTTTCCCACCATAGTGCAGCAAGATCAGACAGGTGTGCACTTGCTATTACGATTCGCCTGGCCTCTCGAATGTTGTTGGCGCAGAATGCCTGTGTAATCGACTCAATCTATTCTATTGGGTCTTGGTTTTTTCCAATGAACGTTGGATAATTAACTACGTTTCGCTCACTAAACTCTGATTGAGTTTCTCGAGGCAGTTTCAGGACGTTCGCTATAACTTGCAATAGTTGCGTTGCTTGCTGATCAAAAGTTGGTTGCTGTTCATGATCTATTGGTGGGTTCAAATTATCTAACAAACTTTCATTGCTAGGAGGCTTGCTTCCTTCACAGACGTTTCCTCTATTTATCGACCCGAAATCATGATCACTGTCCCCAGAGGTTATGTCATTAAGCGCGTTCTCCTACATTTCCTATACTCTTTGTCTTATTATCACCGTTTTGCCCACACAGTGCTTATTTATGTTCTTTTTCCAATATTTCCACTACTCGTACATACACAGTGATTGTCGATGATTAATTACACGGTCTTTCGGCGGTTGCCCACTCTGGTATTCTTCCACACAATCGGCACCAAATTGTTGTAGTTGGGGAGAGCCTTCCTTATACATTGCCGGTTTTAGCACAGCACTACAAGCACAGACGTGTCCTTAATTTAGCCACGGACTAATTGACAGAGCTGGTCCGAGGTGATCTCAATTACTGGACTACTGGTAGGTCGTCGTAGGTCACGTGCCAAATACTAGGGGTTGCCGGTCTCTAAGAAACAGTGTGGATGTTAGGGGGGGTCAAATGCCAGGCTACACTATGCAAGAATATCGCTTTCAATTTATACTATCTACTTATTAATTTAGCGGAATGCCCTCTTTATTTATTGGGCATACACCCTATTTATACAAATTTTTGTGGTTGGGTCTCAAACCTCCTGCTGGGGTTTCGGACCTGTACCTGGGGTTAGGAACCCTAGATTAGGGTCTCGAACCCGATATTGGGGTTTAGAACCCTATTACTACATTATGCTAACTACGAAATACGCAATGCAGGGTTTTGTACCTTATTCTGAGGTTTCGAACCCTAATACTATGCTATGCTAACTTATTTATGCAGATTGTTTATGAGGGTTTCGAACCCTATTACTATGCTTTACTAACTTATTTATGCAAACCGTTTATGAGGGTTTCGAACCCTATTACTATGCTATACTAAAAACAGACAGCAGAAGAAAAAGAAAAAAAAAATAAAAAGGTACAGAGTTTTTCGTAACATCTTCCCTAGCTCAAAGAGTGAGCTCCTGTGAACTCACCACCATCCTCCGAATTTCCTCCTCTCTCAACCTTCCCGCTTCCGCCAACATCGCCTCAGAGAAATCTCCCTCCAACATTCGTTCCAGCACCGAAATTGATATATGTTGAACTTGACACATACACCATTCACCCCGCATGGTAAACAACATATATACTCACTTTGCAATTTTCTATACTAAGCCCACTTTGGGGGCCGGGAGTTGCTCGGCTAGCTCCCTTCATGCTTCGTCACCCCAACCCTTTTCAAACAGCAAGCTTCCTACTTTATAATAGGTCTCTAATACCTCAGCCGTCGATAGGGTCCTTGGGTTTAGGTCTTCGATGTCGCTACACACGTTACTTAGTTTTTCACTCCAGGTTTCTCCAGCGGCTTCGATAGGCATTGCAAGTTCGGTCCCCATGGGTTGGTCCAAGTCTTGAAGAAACAGAGCCAAATGGTCGTGGATTTGCTGGGCCTTGGTCCTTCTTTCCGTTCGTCCAAACCCTTCGTGAATCTCTTGGTCCTGGTATCGAAAGATCACTTCCCCCTCCTTAACCTCCAGCTCTTCGTCAGGTTCCATCTGGTCCACAAGTTGTTGGATCGTTTTTCTCAAAGTTTCGAAACATTGTTCCATTTCCCCCTTTTTTTTTTTTTTTTTTTTTTTTTTTGTATATATATATATAAAAAATTTTTTTTTTTTTTTTTTTTTTTTTTATATACAATTTTTTCCATTACCTCATTTTGGTCGTCATTTCGCGCTTTATAGCATTTTAATTGACTACCGTGCACTGCCTCTTTTATTACCTTTTCGTCATTTCCCATCATACGTAATTGATACGTACTATTACCTATTACATCATGCACCCAGTATGGTCCCGACCACTTTTCCTCTAATTTGCCGCCTAATTGTTTTCCCAGCTTGGCCCGGTACCTTAACACCTTATCTCTGATCCCGAAACTTTGCAAGGGGTACTGTCGGTCATGGCTCCACTTCTGCTTTTGTTGGGCTTTGCGAATGTTCTCACATGCCTTGATCCGAACTTCGAACAGTTCGTTCACCAATTTTAAGGTTCAGGCTAAAACCATGAACTCATAGTAGTCATCATCTATAGGATCCACAGGGTAAGTTTCCAGCAGTAATTCTACGGGTAGCACAGCCTCTCTTCCATACATCAGGTAAAAGGGGTCATATTTGGTCGTACCATGCTTGGCCGTCCTGCAAGCAAATAGAGCGGGACTCACATATTCATCTCAGTCCCCTTGGTACTGACTTACGCACTTTGCTAGGGCCTCACAGATGGTTCGATTAAACCGTTTAACAAGACCATTGGTCTGGGGGTGATACGTGGACGAGAATTTGTGCTTAATATCAGCCCTGTTACAGGCCTCCTTTATAACCTGGTTTTTAAAATGGGTTCCCTGATCTGTCAAAATCTGTCGAGGACAGCCGTGTTGACTAACTATTTCTTCCATTACAAAGGCGGCAACAGACTCCGCTGTGCAGTCAGGTAACGCTCGAGCCTCAGGCCATTTCGTCAAATACTCTATTGCTACACCAGGTACCTATTGCCGTTTCTTGTAAGAGGCAAAGGCCCTACTATATCCATCCCCACTCAGTCAAATGGTTGCGTTACCTGTATCGGGTGTAATGCTTCTCGGGTCTTTGGTTTCCCACGACATTGACATACATCACAACTCTGTATATAACTCTTGATATCCCCTATCATTTGACCCCAGTGGTACCGCCTTCGCGCCTTTTCTATAGTTGCTCCTTCTCCTAAGTGGCCAGACGTAGGATCATCATGTAAAGCTCTTAGCAACATCCCTACTTCTTTACGCTGCACTACCCTCAAAGGTCGATCGGGCTCTCGGCGATTCTTTCGATACAACACTCCTTCCCATACTACGTAATACCTGGACTGATTTCTTAACTTTCAGTTTTGTTCCTTTGAATTTTCCTTAGGCAGTTCTAACTCAGTCAGATATCGAATCAGGTTAGTATAATCTTTGGATTCCATCGTAAGGAGTTGTTCAGTTTGTCAGTTTTTTTTTTTTTTTTTTTTTTTTTTTTTTATATATATTTATGTGCCAGGACACCGTCACCTGGACTGGATTACGGATTTGGGTCAAGGGTCTACTTATAATTAATCAAGAACAATTTCTGGGTGGTAGATTCAATTCGCCTTAGAATAGTTAGTTTGAAAGTACTCGTACGCATTTGGGTCTCTTTTGACTCGTTTTGGCACCTCTTCCAGTTATTTTGTTGTTTTGCCGACTGTTACACCAGTATTTCATACCAAACTATTGATTTATGCGCCCCAGACCCCGCACATAAACGTCGTAGCCGACCCTTAACTACTACGTCCGCATTATTATTATTTTTAATTAAAATTATATTTTTATTTTTTTTTTTTTATTTTTTTTTTTTTGTATTTATTTTTCACTCAGACTCCTCTACTCGGGATAACCCGTTGACGTTCCCCAATTGCCTCCCAGGTCGGTACTTTACCACGAAATCATAGCCTTGGAGAGTCATGATATATCTTGCATTCCTATGGGTGGGGTTAGCCATGTTATTGAGGTAGGTCAAAGCCATATGATTGGTCACTATTGTAAATTGGGATCCATGGAGTTATTGGTGAAACTTCTTCATGGCCCAAACAATAGCGGTACACTCTAATTCAGTTATTGTGTAATTCCGCTCAGCAGGCTTTGTTGATCGACTGGTGTACTCCACAACACCTTTAAGCCCGTTATCGCCAGGCTGAGATAAAACAGCACCAAGAGCAAGGTGCGATGCATCTGTATACAAAACAAATCTAATGTCGTCTCGAGGGTGAGCGAGGATGGGGCTGAAGTGAGCCTATTCTTCAACTCGTCGAACGCTTCTTGTTGCTGCTCCTTCCAGGTGAAATTTTCTCCTGTTTTCAATAGTTTGTAGAGGGGCGTGGCTATACCCGAGAAATCTCTAATAAAGCGACGATAGAAGCCGGCCAAACCTAGAAACCCCCTTAATGCACAAAGGTTCTTGGGTCTGGGGAAGTTACTCACAGCGGCTACTTTTGTTGTAGTTGGGATTATACCTTTGCCAGAAATTTCATGCCCCAGGAACTCTATTCGGTCTTGCCCAAAATAGCACTTGTCCGGGTTCAACTTTAGATTCGCCTGGCGCAGCTTACTAAGAACGACGTCCACGTGGCTCAAGTGTTTTTCGAAACTGAAGAAGTAGATGTTAACATCATCTATATAGGCCAGAACGAAATTCCACATCTCCTTTTGGAGTAGGCGATCCATTAATCGCTGGAAAGTGGCGGGAGCATTTGTTAGGCCGAAAGGCATCACTACAAATTCGTATAGCCCGAATTTGGTGATAAAGGCCGTCTTTTCGCAATCACGTAGATGAACTCCGACCTGCCAGAATCCACTGGCAAGGTCTAGGGTTGTATACCAGGTCGAGTTCTTGAGAGCTCCCAATAACTCATTAATTCTAGG